TGGTAATTTTTGACTCTACAGCTATAGCTGGTACCCAGCCTCTCAACAAACTTCTCATAGCTAAAGTAGTTTCTGTCCTGAAATCTCTCCCTTTTTTCTATTCCTTATTCCCATAAGTATCAGTTTTTAAAAATCTGGTTTGGGACTTCCAAAGGTAGCCTTGTCACTGCTAGCTACTGCTGAGTATAGCTGGACAAGTTATTGTCACCTACATCCTGAATTAGATGTGTTTTCCATCTAATACATGTTGCTTTGTCAGGGGCCAACTGGCATCCTGGGACCGCCACTGAATTCAGCTCCATGAAGGTTAATAGCCCATTTGGTCTGATAGCATTTTGGCACCTCCTGTCCCTCTGTGATGTGGAAGGACCTGCCAAACCCAAAAGCCTCCCTACCCAATCCAGCCACATCTGCTCTCAGAACTCGTAGCAGTGACGCTTTAGCCACAAGGAGTGGACCAGAGAGAGCTGCCACACAGGGCATAAGCCTGTGTCCTTAGGCTCAGAGAGATTACTGAGGCAGCCCGTGTCTATAGTGGGTGTCTGCTATTCAGGAAAACGAAAGCTTTACTAAAGTCTCTGGTTTTCTAGGCAGAATTTTGTAGGCATTGGGATATGTAGACTGGAAAAGACAAAGTCTCTATCCTCAAGAGATTCAAGTTTCAAGTAGAACACTAGTTAAGATTTATTGAGTACTGTGTGCCAGGCACTATCATAAGTACTTTACATGTACTAACTTACTTCATTAAGGAGACGAAACCCATAAACAATTACTAGCCAGGTGAACAAAAGACAACGAAGGGGAACAGTTAATTCTACCTGTGATGGTCAAGGAGGCTTCACCGAGGTGACATTTGAGATGGGGCTTGTAAAGTTTGACTAGAAGAGGAAACAGACGCTGCAGAAGAACCACAGGGCTAGCAGCCGCAGGGGCAACAGTAAAGGGTATGAAGGATCAAGTCAGCACCCTACCAAGGGTGGGTAGCCTGGAACCACAGCGGGTGGAGCTCTGAAGGCCATGTTGAAAGGTTGAGACTTTATCCTTTAAAAGACCTTCAGTATCTCCCCCTGGCCTGAACCAAATAATTTTCTGATCAGGTCTAGGCTTTGGAATAATTTCTGGCACCAGTGTGAAAGACCGCTTGTTAAAAGGGAAGGGATTCAAGCTAGGGCGACCAGCAGGGCGTTTTTTTGTTGTTTTTTTTTTCCCAAAAGCCTGATGAGAGAGACAAAGACCTGTATCTGGACACGGGCCAAGGCAAGGGAGAATGAAGGAGGAATCCCAGTGAAGGCAGCGGCAGTGTTTGCCAGATTTGGTTAAACACGAATCAAAATGTAAGCGAGGAGTCAAAAGATGAAACAAGGTTTCCAGCCCATTTTTCACCAAGATAAGAACAAAAGGAAGGATGGGAGAAAATAAGTTTTGCTGGGGTCACAAGAGACTAGCAGGTAGAGATGCCAGTGGACCACTGACCTACAATCCCAGGGAAAGGGCCAGCGAGCAGCTTGAGAGTTTAGAGTATACAGAGCAGGAGGGGACCAAGAGTAGAATTGGGGGGGGGTGAGCACTGGTATTTGGGGGCATGGAAGAGCAGACAAAGAAGGGGCGGTTAGAGGTAGGAAAACCTAGGGGAGCCATGTTTCAGAAGCCAAGCTCAGTCACTTCTCTGCCGGAAGAGAAATGAACTGTTCAGAAATGAACTGGTGAGTGAGTAGGCTGGTTAGCCACGGAGAGGTGGATGAGGGCTGGCTGTGGCCTGGATAACTGGAATAAATGTCAGAGGTCCTTCTACCCATCTGATATTTGCTTCTGAAGAGGGGTGCTGGTGTGATAACAAGCCTGAGAGCCGGCACCTCCTGAGCAGGGGGCGCCAGAAGGACAGTGGAGCGCCAGGGCCTTGCTTATTTGCCCTTTTCTCTCCTGTGTCCCTTCCACTCAGAGCCCCGAAGCCAGGACAGGAGACGGCGGCAGCAGCCACTGACCCATCGCCCTACTTCAAGCATCCTGGCCCCATCCCTAAATCCTGCTAGTTCTAGCCCGGCCTCCTCACCCAGCATGGGCTCCTGTCTGCTGCCCAGCTCACTCAGCATATCAGGTCTGTACCCATGGCCACTGAGATCTGGGTGGGCCAGCCTCCTTCCTTCCCTACCACCAAGGGTATAGACCAGGCTCCCTGCTAGGCTTAAACCAGTCCCTTCAGCTCCCTTGCCACCTGACCTGGACTTCTTTCTTGACTTGATGTCATGCAGCCCTCTGCACAGCAGGGATTATCAGTTACCTTCCTGGATTACCCTAAACTCCTAAAGCACCTATGCCCTTGTACAGGAAGCTGGAAATTGTCTTTGTATAATAAAATAATAGTTACCATCTCTTGAGTGTCTACTATGTGGCAGGCACTGCTCTAAGCACATTACCTCACTTAATCCTCATTTTTAAAGCTTAACAACCCGAGTACCTGCTACTTTGAGCTTCCTGACTCCAGCTTAGACAAAACTGAAGAATGAAAAAGACATAGGTCTTTCACCGGTCATCACAGCAAATGCTGTGTAACCCCATCATCCACAGAAAACCTAGGCCACCTGCTCTCCTTTTAAGTTATACCCCCAGCTCTGTAAAGGACTGGATGGGAAGGAGTCCTAAGACTCCAGCCCAACACCTTATAACTCGCTCAGAACCTGTAACTCCCAACCTGTCAACTGTCTTCAATGGGTAGCCCACAATCCACCAGTCTTGGGTACTTACTTGATCCTTAAACACTTACTCATTTGAATGGGACAGGCTCTTAGCTCTATAAATTCACAGTGGCTCGGCTTGATGGGCTGTGATTCAAGATCCAAGCTGCCCCTCCAGCCCTTGGACCAGACTAGAGCATGCCGTGCTTTTCAACCAGGGGCCGTTTTGCCCACTAGGGAACACGCGGCAAGGTCTGACGACATTTCTGGTTGTTAGAGTGGAAGCGGGGCAGGGGAAGAAGAAATGCTATCCAGTGGGTAGAGGCCAGGAATGCTGCTTAACATTCTACAATGCACAAGACAGCCCCCCACAACAAAGAATTATCCAGCCCAAAATGTCAATATTGCCAATCCTGAGAAAACCCTGATCTAAAGGAAGCTACCCCCTCTTCTCTGTGGTCCCCTACCCTGATATGTTTCCTTCGTTTCCTAGGGAGCAGCTGCTCACTCCTGTCCTCAGGGGACAAGCCAGAGGCTGTCATGGTGATTGGGAAAGGGCTCCTAGGACCTCGAATCCCCTGTATCAGGACACGGTTGCAGGTAACATTTTTGGGTCTTCCCCAGCCCCCAGCGAAACAACCCTGGCAGAGCCCAGCAAGGCACTGTTCATCTGGGCAGTGGGAGGGAGAATGCTCAGCACTGCTTTCAGCCTCTCCCCTCAACCGTATCAGAAAGCTACTCTGGTACCTGAGTGCCTCCGTCTGTCCAGTGCCCCCAGTCCCTTCAGCCAGGTTTCTTGCTTGCTTCCAACCCATGTCCCTGCCAGATATACCCCAACCTCAGCCTGCTACCTTTGGCTTTGCCTGCCCCTGCCCTTAGCTTCTCCTCTCTTTCTGCCCAGACCTGCCCGAAGAGAGTTCCCGCCAGGAGGGGTCCCGGATTCCCCAGGTAACACATCTGGTTGCTGCTCCTAAGAACAGCTGTACCACCAACTCCAGTTCAGTCCGGTCCCCATGCTAAGTTGGCTGAAGCTGGGTATAGGCAGAGACTGGATGGTTGAAACCTCAGCTGTTCTGGCAGGGGCTGAGGCACACAAGGCTCTGAGGGAGATCTCCCGATTCTCCAGCTGCTTTCCATACACTGCTTCTCTATTTAGCCAGATGTTAGCCATGATACAACCATGGAGGTTAAATACTGGATCCTTTTGCCTCCCCTAGTTAATTAAGACTTGGAGTCATAGACTGAACCCAAGAATTCTCTAGCTATTATCCTGCCTTACCTTCTCAGCCAGGGACAGTGCCCAGAAATTCAAGGTCCCAATACCTATGTTGACCCCTATACTACATTCTTACGCATGGAAACTCTAGAAGCAAACCCAGAAGCAAAACAGTTCATGGAACAATCCAGCCTCTTAGCCCACCCCGTATCCATACAGGCTAGGCCCAGGTTGGGCCGGGGCTCACCGCCGACTCGCAGAGGGATGAGCGGCTCTTCCGGCCCCACATCCCCTATACCCCGGACCAGGGAGAGCAGTGAGCCGGAGCCGGGACCCTACTCTGCACCAGGGTGAGCACCCGGGTCCAGTACCTCACCCCACCTCACTTCCATCCCTTCATTCCCATTTCTGCCATTCAGGACCATTTTCTTCCTTCCCTACTCCGACTCCCAAAAGACTAAAGGTACTTTCATTAAGAATCTTGTCCCTGAATTTCTTCCCATCATGGCCTCAATCTTCCCTCCAAACAGACAAGAAAACAACTTCTTGTTAGGGCCTAAGGCCTAGGAGCTGGCTCGTTCCAGCATCAGCCCACTGTGCAATGCTCAACCCCTCTATTCTTACCCATCTCGCCTTCTCATCTCCCAGCCCCTGGCAAACAGACCAGAAGAGGGGCAGAGTTTTCACAACCCTGATTCCTCTCTCTTCTCTGTTGCAGGCTGCCTCAGGCCGGGCCCCCACGGCCCCACTCTGCCCCTGCCTTTTCTATTTCTTGTAGTCTATCTGATTCCCAGTCCCGGATTTGTTACAGTGGGGGGCCCTTGGGCCAACCTGAGGTTTGTTTTGTCCCTAAATCTCCCCCACTCACTGTCTCTCCCCGGGTCTGATGCCTCAACCTTCATGCCCAGTATACAGCCCCAAGATGGGAACACAGTGGGGAATGTGCTAGTCCCCTCCCTCAGCTGTTGATTCCATGTGACAACCATAACTCCTTGGAATGCCAGCCACACTCTTCTGAGGCATCGCAGAGCATCACCTTGAGACAGGACAAAGCAGGAACCTGCTACCCCATCCCTCCCTCCACAGCACAAGATTTTGGGACCACAAAAAAATATATCTATATTTTTATATTGAGGGGAGGGAGTAGAAAAGAAACCCCTATACTGGGCCCTACTCAGTGGCAGCTTCTTGTTCCATAGGGTTAAGGAAGACTTTGAGGAAATAAAAGTTGTTTGGAAAAATCCAGGTGTAGTTGCTTTGTATGCTGTGATGGGTAGAGGGATGAAGTGAAGTGTGAAGGCCCCTCATACCCTCCATCTTGCCTCAGACTATGTCCTGGAACCCTAGAAAAGAGGGGGAAAGACCCAAGGTAAGGAAAATGCTGCAGCTTTCCTCTGGGGAAATCTTTCAGGCATCAACTCCCATCCAGCCTGTCCCCCCCTTTACATTTTTGACCCACACTTAAGGTTCCCCCACACCCCACCTTTCCGTAGGACTTGGGTCTACAGTAGCCAACCGCTAACTCAGTGCTCCTTGCCCCAGAACACGGAAATAGCGTTCTACATCTTTACAACCACGCACGCACACACACACAAACAAATTCTGCCTAAACAACCTTAGAGAAGTGAGAACTACTTAAGTGAAGAGCCCAAATCCTCATACTTGGATGGCATCCTCAGCGCCTTTATTCCTACCGGTGTCAGTGCCTCCTTGTAGCCAAACCCGCAACTTGGGCATGGGGGTACCATGAAGACGGGAGCTGAGGAAGATTAGGAAACTCACCCCCATTCTAGCAGGGAGCAGTTTAACGGGGAGAGGGCAGGGCACTGCAAGGCTCTCCCTACTGTGTGCGGATAAAGGGGCTCAGTTCTGGACTGTATCATGCTTGGCCCGACACTTTCTGATTTTAAGTTTCGAACCCTGCAGGCCCTGGCGCGGCCTCGCCACTCCACTCTCCGGGGGCTGGGCGCTAAGCCCCGGACCGTTACCTGGGGCGGAGAAAGCGCCACTTTCATTCCTGCTTCTTGGGATTGTTGACGGCCACGTAGTGATAGAGAACGACAAGGAGGAAGAGCGACACGCCCAGCATGTTGGCGAAGATGGCAAGCTGCACGTCTGTGATCATCCTGCGGAGAAGAGGAGGGACTGAACCCGAGGCCCGCGCACTCCTCGCCCAGGCCGAGACCCGTCCTCGCCCCCAGGACCAGCCACCGCCGAAGCACCGTGCAGCCCGCGTGCGTGCCTCTCACCTGATCAGCTGGGCTCCCCGCGATGCGGTCTGCGTACTAGAGGAAGGTAGGGGTCCCGGCCCGGAAGTTGGTTGCGCGAGCGCAAGCCCAAACCAGGTACTTCCGGCCTGCCGCTCGGTCGGAACGGGCTCTCTAGCCCCGCCGTCTCGCCTGCTCCCCGCGGCGCATCGTAAGGGGCGGGGTCTCGGGGGGGAGCTGCGGAGGGACGGCCCCCCGTAGGGGGCGGGCGAGCCGCGGACGCGCGCCTAGGGCTGGCGGGAGGCAGCTGGCCGCAGCTGGCGCGGCGGGGGACCCAGTTGACCCGTGGCCGCCTCCCCAGAGCCCAGCGGCGGAGTGGCGGGGTGAGAGGCTCGGCCCGACCCCTAGACTCCGACCCCCTTTCCTGCCCTGGCCCCCCGCGTTGCTGCCCACCCTCCGCTTCCCGGCTCGGCCCAGCCAGGTGCTTCCTTTGGGCCCTGCCCTCAGGGTCCCCTCCCTGGCCCCGGCAGCAGAGAGGGGGGTGAGAGGCGGTGCAGAATGGGGAGAGAGCTGGGGCGGCCGGGTGCTCCTCTCCTCGGCGCCCGCCTTTTTGCCCCACAGCCGCCAAGTGGAAGGATCCTGCCTGTGATCTGACCGGTGCCTCCCCAACTCGGGCTCGCTCCCTCCACCCCACCCCCGGAGGTGGGCGTCGGAAATAGGGCGGATCCTCCCGGAATCAAAGCCCAAACCGTGGGACTTGAGCCAAGTGGGAAATCACCCCCCGGATGTGAGGGAGGGGGGCGGGGGGAAGGGCTGGGACGAGCAAGAGGGGTTGTGGGTCCTGAGCAGAGTGGATCACTGAGGAGAAAGAAGACTGTGGGTAGATGTCTGAGGGTCTCCGGTGAGGGGAGAGGCACTGGAGCTCTACAGCCCTCTGCCCCAGGGAGATCCTACTCCCCCCTCACTGCTTGCTTTCCCTCAGCTTCACCATAAAAGGGAACGGCACAGAGCCAGGCTGGGGCCGGGGGCTGGGCTGTTGCTCTGGAGCTGTCAGGGGTAATGGAAGCCAGTTGCTTTGCGGTAGAGGGGGGCCAGGGCTCAGGGGACGCCTCTGCTTCTCTGAGCCAAGGAAAACTACAGGAGCTGCTATGGGACTGCAACAGCTGGGGCAGAGGACTGTCTTGCTGCCCGTGTGCACCATGAGCCAGGGGTGCACTAGCTCAGAGCTGGCTTCCCTGGCCTGGGACCATCAGTTTGTCCTCCATGCTCCAGCCCAGTGACTCCTAAGCTCAGTCTCTGCCTTTAGCAGTCTGTAATTCCCCTGGCCTACCCCATTTCACCCCCCAGCCTCCACCCAGTATTTCCCAGAAGTTTCCTATTTAGAATCTCAAGCCCATGTTCCCTCCACGTAATAGTGAAACCCCAGGCGTGTACTTCCTCATGTGTCCCTCAGAGAGTGGTCTGTTCCCAGCTCTGCTGTGGGAGAATGAGGGTCTAGGTCTTAAAGGATTACACACATTATGCTTTGTGGCTCCTGGAAATTTGAAGCAGATCCAAATCCAACCAGACACTTAGATCTACTGTTAAGACAGAACTAGACCCTGGAAAGCCGACTTTCTAGACTGCAAATGACATGGGGGAAGGCCTTGGAAGTGCTTCAGATTTCCAAGGCAGTCCTGAAACAACTGACCATAGACTTTCAGAGCTAAAGGGGGCCTTCAAGATCATTTTACAAAGAAGGAAACTGAGGCCCAAAAGGTAATTGATTTGACCAGGATTCTACAAACGGTTTGAAATTGTCACCTGAACCGCTTTCCTCTATTCTACTCTCCATGTCCGACTATGGACTCGATGGGTTATCCTAGGGTCAGGGACAAGAGGAAAAGGATTTTAGAACCATCCAGAAATATCCTTCACCTCCCAGAACGTGCTGTGCCTAGGCCAGCGACTCTTTATCAGCCTTGACTGGGTCATTTGGCCTACTGCCTGGAGGAACTGAAATTAAAAATGGTCCCCAGGACTAAACTAGACTCAGCTAAGAACTAACAAAGCTTGAAAAAAGCTTGGGTGGAAAAAGTATGTGGGAAGTGAGACAGGCAAAGCCTCACCCTTGGGGGAATTGGAAGAAGGAGAGAATTTGGGGGAGGGGCATATGTGGAGTTTAATCTCTGCAATTAGTGTGACATTTTCAAGGAGAAGACATGAGTTTAGGATTAGGCTGAGGAGTGAAAAAGCAGCAAGAGCCGGGAAAGGGGCCTGGGCCCTGAGTCCAGAGAGGTTGGCTCTTAAAGTAGTATACCTGTGGGAAGGGATGGAAGGAAAAGGAAAATAGGCATTTGAGCAGGAGCGGACAGAGTCCCCTCAAGATTGAAATCCCATCTACGTTTGCATAAACCAAGGCTCGATTCCTATTATTCTCCATTTTTTCCTCCCAATATTCAGTCCCCTGACAGAGGGCATTAGACATGAAATGCTCCTTACCACAGGTGCCCCTGGCGATCCCAGCCTCCACACATGAGCTCCTTGCTCGGCCACTGATGGTTGACTGAAAGTGTTAGTTGCCCAGTATAGCCAAGATTTCCCATGGGCACTAGACCCTTGACAATCCCCATCTTGGAAAGGTTATAAAATAGATCTGTCCTAGTGCCCCCAAGGACTTGGCCATTTTTGATCTCAGGAATCCTCTTGCCAATTGCTTTGGAAATTTGTGGCTACTCGTCAATACCACCGCCACCACCAGTGCATTTTCTCTAATCTTCGTCTCCGTTGTGGCCTGCTTGCCCAATACCTCAGGCCTCCCCAGCGAACCCAGAGCCACTGATGTATTTGAGGTGTCACAAACATTCCTGTCAGCCCTCAGGTCTTGGCTCCTGATTACAGGACTGAATGAAATGCAACCTACTGCAATGGTATTTTAAAGCCAACATTTTTGGCTTGACACACTTAAAATACAACAGAGTTTTAGTATATGTGCTGCCGAAGCAAGCACGAAATACAACAGAGTTTTAAACTTGAGGCACCCATTTAAACTTAAGGAATGAGTGACAACCAGGCAGTGACAAGATGGCTGGGATGACTTTTCAGGTTGTCAGAGGCCCCCTGAAGGGAGAGAGCGGGGCAAGAACTGAGAAAGAAAACTGCAGCAGCCAGGCAACCTGAAGTGGGTTGGTTTACTGCCAGGGCCAGGGCCTAGAACTGATGCAGAGACCAGGGACAACACTGCAACCTTCCACTGACAGCAGCTCTCAGATCAGGATCCCCTGGGACTGTTTCCTTCAAGTCTTCCCGTGTGCCAGTCTCCACACTCCTATGGGACAGCTGCAAATTTCCGTTTCTGTGGATTCCAGCATTCACTTTCACCATCCTTTCTTTTTGCCAACATTTCTCCCAGCCACCAAGATCACATACTGGGCCAGAGGACCTCAGAGGCAGGTCACACAGAGTCACATTGAAGATTTGGTGGCATCCTTTTTCATGGCTTCCAACTATTGCCCTGCACATGATTCCCAGAAGCAAGACCCACATCTCTGACCATCTCCTGGATACTTACTGCCACCCAGCTATGTTACTCTCATCTGAAACTCAGTATGTCCAGACTAAGGTCGTCTTTCTTCCAAAGCTGTTCCTCATCTCGACTTCCCCATCCTGGCTCCAACCCCAGAATCTTCTGTGATGCCTCCCTTCCTCTGGCCCCTCATTACTCGGGCAGTCCCCAAGCAACCACAGCCTTCTCTTTCCAGGCTGCATCACTCTGCAGTGTAGAATGTCAAAGGCACCTCAGACAGTAGCCAACAGACCTCCGGCGGAGTCGTGGCATTGGTTTCCCGGTGATAACACAACGTAAAGGAGGAGGTGGAACCAGCGTCCTTGTGGCCTGAAACCCTGTCCGTTGCTCTTGCCCACCATGTCTTCTTTCTGAAGGCCTATCGAGCTCCCACTCAAAAACTTGTAATCCAAGCTCTTAACCAGTCCTCTGGGCCCCTCCCCGATTTTTCCACAATTGACTTCTCTGAGTTTCTGTCCCACTTCTTCCTGACACAAATAAGAGCCCTTACTAAGCATTTACCATGTGCCAGGCACTATTCTAAATGCTTTACGTGTTTTAACTTAATCCTCACAAACTTAGGAAGGAGGGTGCTGTTATGATTCCCATGTTGAGGAATGAGGAAACTGAGGCAGGCCTCTTTCCCCAGTCTGCAATCTCTCCCCTCCCCCATCTCTGTGCTTCACTTTTCTCCCCCAACACTGTTCAGCCTCTCTCTCTCTCTTCCAACGGCCCTCCTCTGAGCCCCCCCCCCAGCATCCAGCTGTTTTTCCCCTCCCCTTGCTCAGAACACATCACCCACTCGTCTGGCCCCCGTGGCATGCCGTCTGTCCTGCTTTGTGTTGGTTGCTTCGGTGCCTGTGTGCCATTCCCCAGCGGTCCCAGGTGCTCCTTCCAGAGTGTCACACAGGCCTTTGCTCCCCGGGCGCCTCCACAGAGCCTCCACACAGCATGCTCACCTCCTTTCTGTCTAGTACTTCTGCTTCGCTCTCGCGAGCCAGCGCCGCACCACACGGGGACACCTGGGCCTGAGTACCGTGTTGAGGCCAGATGGTGAAGCCGGGGGCCAGCTGACAGATTCGGACTCCTCTCAAGAAGAGCCTTCGGGTCAGGCTGGTGGTTGAGCATGACTGAGTTCCTTGCCTGCTGCAGAGGCCCTCAGGCTTGCCTCCAGGCTGGGGAAGGACTTCCTTTGGGCTCCATAGATATAGATACCACCCGGTCTGCCTCGCTCCTTCAACTTCCCCACTTACGGCCTGACCTTCACCAAGACAAGCCTGAATCCATATTCATTTGTTTTTTTTGAGAACGAGTCTTTCTCCTCTTGCCCATGTCCTCTCCATGCCTGACAGGAGGCTGCGCCCTCATTTCCAGATTCCTTTCTTCCTCTTCTAGTTTCTCTGAATGCCCTGCCTGCCTCAGTGGAGTCCTTTTCCGTCTCCCCCCTGGCCCAGTAGCCCTCTCTCCTCTCCTCCTTCTTTGTCCCAGGTCACTGACCTAGGTACGGAGATCCTAATCAGAGCCCTGCTCTTGGCTTGCCCGGACAGGTTACTCTCCAGCGCTGGGCCTCGTTGTTCGCATCTGTAAAAGGAGGCAGCTGGACTAGGTAGTGAGTGATGTCCTGCTGGAGCCCTGCGAGTTCA